TGTAAAAGCTGGTACGTTTATGTGCAGATCGTAGACAGATAATAAAAGCGAGCCATCATTACAACTTGATGTTTTCAGTCAATGTCTGTCACTGTTTTGTCTTCTTGGTAAGAGGTACAGAACGTTTTATGATCTAATAATGGTTTGTAACAAGCGATTTTATAGGGTCTAATTATTTTTGCCACCTTATTCCATACACGTGTAGTTCTCGATCGAGTGCTTGAATTCGTTGAATCTTTCGCTCACAAAATATCTAGGAAGCCACTGCCCTCGATAGAGTAGATGTGGAATTTTTAAATTACAGCTTGAGTTCACAGTACGCCGAACAAATTTGAAAACGCAGCTTTATTTCCACGGTTAGGCCTACCGTCCACACCAGTCCGTCACGAAAACGGAGCTTTTCGAAAACGCTCTTAGAACCAGAGGAATTTGAAAACGCCCGCTCTTCTATTTCGCGTGAACGAAAAAAATTTTTTTGAAAACGGAGTTTTTCAAAAACGATGGCGTCACGATAATAATGTGATTTCCCTCACCGAGTTTTCCTCAAACACAAATCCAAAATGACCGATGATTGTTGCGTTTTTAAATTCCTCCNTTCCCTGACCGAGTTTTCCTCAAACACAAATCCAAAATGACCGGTGATTGTTGCGTTTTTAAATTCCTCCGTTGCAGTGTGGACGGAAAACATTTGATGCGTTTTCAGGGTGAAACCTTCCTTTTCAAATTCCTCCCCTAAAGTTTCGCTGGCAAAGAAAACAACGCTGAACGATGATTGTTATTCTTTCCTTCAGTCACTCTGCAATATCGATTTGAAATGAAGCAAGGCCTCTGAACATTTCTTCATGTAAACGGTTTATTTCATTGGCCAATTTGTTGTATATTTAAAAAGCCAGAAGGATCTCTTTTCTGATTTGTAGTTTTGTTCAAAATCGCAATCTGTTTAACACTCTGTTGATGGCATATATATGATGGCAAATGATTCCTTTGGAGACTAATTTGTTACATTGCGGTTCATTATTTATCTAAACAACATGGTAAAAAAACCACACCCCTTTCTCTCAGGAATAATTCTAGAAAATGTGGTTGTTTTCGAATATTACCTTTTATTAACACCATCATCATCAGATCACGATCAGATTTTGTGGCTACGATTAACCGAGAAAGTTTTAACATGCACTGTTGAATGTTTATGTAAATGATTCGCACTTTTTTT